AAAAAGAGAGAGGGAGAAAAAGAGAGAGGGAGAAAAAGAGAGAGGGAGAAAAAGAGAGAGGGAGAAAAAGAGAGAGGGAGAAAAAGAGAGAGGGAGAAAAAGAGAGAGGGAGAAAAAGAGAGAGGGAGAAAAAGAGAGAGGGAGAAAAAGAGAGAGGGAGAAAAAGAGAGAGGGAGAAAAAGAGAGAGGGAGAAAAAGAGAGAGGGAGAAAAAGAGAGAGGGAGAAAAAGAGAGAGGGAGAAAAAGAGAGAGGGAGAAAAAGAGAGAGGGAGAAAAAGAGAGAGGGAGAAAAAGAGAGAGGGAGAAAAAGAGAGAGGGAGAAAAAGAGAGAGGGAGAAAAAGAGAGAGGGAGAAAAAGAGAGAGGGAGAAAAAGAGAGAGGGAGAAAAAGAGAGAGGGAGAAAAAGAGAGAGGGAGAAAAAGAGAGAGGGAGAAAAAGAGAGAGGGAGAAAAAGAGAGAGGGAGAAAAAGAGAGAGGGAGAAAAAGAGAGAGGGAGAAAAAGAGAGAGGGAGAAAAAGAGAGAGGGAGAAAAAGAGAGAGGGAGAAAAAGAGAGAGGGAGAAAAAGAGAGAGGGAGAAAAAGAGAGAGGGAGAAAAAGAGAGAGGGAGGAAAAGAGAGAGGGAGGAAAAGAGAGAGGGAGGAAAAGAGAGAGGGAGGAAAAGAGAGAGGGAGGAAAAGAGAGAGGGAGGAAAAGAGAGAGGGAGGAAAAGAGAGAGGGAGGAAAAGAGAGAGGGAGGAAAAGAGAGAGGGAGGAAAAGAGAGAGGGAGGAAAAGAGAGAGGGAGGAAAAGAGAGAGGGAGGAAAAGAGAGAGGGAGGAAAAGAGAGAGGGAGGAAAAGAGAGAGGGAGGAAAAGAGAGAGGGAGGAAAAGAGAGAGGGAGGAAAAGAGAGAGGGAGGAAAAGAGAGAGGGAGGAAAAGAGAGAGGGAGGAAAAGAGAGAGGGAGGAAAAGAGAGAGGGAGGAAAAGAGAGAGGGAGAAAAAGAGAGAGGGAGGAAAAGAGAGAGGGAGGAAAAGAGAGAGGGAGGAAAAGAGAGAGGGAGGAAAAGAGAGAGGGAGGAAAAGAGAGAGGGAGGAAAAGAGAGAGGGAGGAAAAAAGAGAGGAAGAAAAGAAAATTCTGATTATCTATGTAAAAAAAAAATATTAATTAAGAATTCCCAAGAACAGTTATTAGTTGATAAACTAAATAACTTGCATAAAAGGCATTACCAATTTGTCAATATTAAAAGAAAAGGAAACTTTAACAATGGAACGCCTACTGTACCTGTGCTTCTTCAGGTTCACAAAAATGGTCCCAGGGAAGTGGTGATGTGCTAGAAAAAAGATGCAGCAGCAGTTTGGCTTGTTCAACCTAAGTTTTGGGGGTTTTGTTTGTTTGTTTGTTTTTTGCTTAATAAAAACATGCCTGATGTGACTACTGTAATATGACCATTTTCATGTATGCCAAGAACAAGACTCTTCATGCTAAGAAGTATGCAAACAATCAAGCAGACATATAAACAACTTTAAACATTTTTTAAAGTGCTAAAGTGATTTTGAGAAAATAACACTCCTTATATACCAAAGACTTACAAATTATTTTCTATTTATTTTCTGTCACGAATTTGGAGTAGCAAACAATCAAGCAGACATATAAACAATTTTAAATATTCTTTAAAAGTGCCAAAGTGATTTTGAGAAAATTTTGTTTTCCGAAAAAAATATAAAGCCAAATAAACCAGAATAACACTCCTTAAATACCAAAGACTTACAAATTATTTTCTGTTTATTTTCTGCCACGAATTTGGAGTCAGATTTCTCCTCCTAGACCTGAATTTTCAATCTGAATAGCTTTCATTTTGCAGAACTGTTCCTCCAAAATCTCTCTTGAAGTAAGTTTCAGAAGCATAATTTGTAATCCAAAAATAAAGCAGGAACTCTAATTGAATCTGTCTGTTAAGCCATATAACAGCTGTAATTTCATTGTTCAGAAGAAGCTTATTAAAAGAATACACAAGCAATAGTTAGAACTACTATATTTGCTCAGTGTCTATTTTCAGTACCTATAGCACCAACCCATAAGTAAGACCCAATGTGCAGGACAGCAGAACTTCAAATACAGCAATTTAAAAGTTATTTTCCCTTCCTGCACAACGCTGTGTCACCTATGTGCTCTCAACAGCAAATGGAATCCCAGGCCACTTGAAGAGTTTGCATTTTTCAGTCCTCAGACAAGAATTCCTGTCTCCAGAACTTCAATAGCTACCTGAAATGCAACAGAAGTGTTTTCAATTCTAATTCTCTACAAAAGGGTTTGAAGTCTTTTCCCTTTAAGTAACTCAGTTGCTAGGGAATATATTTTTTTTGTATGCATTACTACATAAAACATCATTATTTAGTAATGCACCTAAGAGAACAATCAGCTGCCAGCAATAAGAATACTACTACTTATTCCAAGATGCATCAGAAGAGACAAGAGGAAGTAAATCACTCTTATTTCCACAAAAGAACATCCTTTTTATAAATGGCTTGACAATTGTCACAATAAAACACAGCAGCCATTTTACTTTTTGAAAGGTTTGAAGCCCCCAGTAGAGGTGGTTCTCACTCCCTGAACTGAGAATGGAGAACATCCTGCCCGCCTCGGTGGCTGAGAAGCACAGAGGAAGCCACTATGGTATCATTTAAGTGCTCACTGATGCTGGCCTCTCCCTCAGGATAAAAATGAGTCCCTCTTGCTAAGAATTTGAACATAAACTCAGTGATGGTTTCTTCTTCATCCCTTCAGAGGGCTTACCTCCAACACTGTAACTTCTCTTCCCTGGGAAAGCTCGAAGAGCTTCAAGGTGCACATTTGAAGCTACCATTTTAGAGCCTTAAAATTCTGTTACTATCTGCTGTTGGAGAGAAAGATTTCTCTCTGACATTTTCTGACAGCAGATCCTTGTCTTTGCAGTTAACACGTTTTTCACAGACAGCCTTCATATTCATTAGGAATCTACTGCCAAAGGAATATGGGGAAGTGGTTGAATACCAAGCCACAAGAAAGGAGAATGAGTATAATTTATGAATAAACCAACCATTCACCTGCCAATTAACAACCAACACAACTTTGGCCAATTATCTCTCCGAAAAAGAATTTTTGTTTTCCCTCTGTGTAACAGTATTAAGCTCTCTGTAACAGTTGAGTTTTTAGAGCAATATAGAAATTTGACATCAAGCACAGAAAAACCACAATGTATTTCAGTGTGCCGAGTATGCTAATCTGTGGAAAATAGCACAAGTTCAGAGAACTGAAATTCATGTATATAAATGCTGGATAAACATGAAAAATAGCCCTAAAATAGTCCTGTGAAAATATTTTTGTTTTCACACTTAAAGAAAATTGTGTTTCTAAGAAGACAAAGCACTTTTTGGAAATTCCTTCAACTCCACCTTGATACACCAACATGGAGAATGTACTAAACTACCACTTAGGGATAATTCACAAATACAAAACATCCTTTTTTAAAAGCAAGTCAGCTTCCTCAAAATCCATCAGTTCTTAGATGAACTCACAGCAAAGAGTAAGACTGCTCCAATCTTTCGCACCTCTTCTTTTGAGGGGTTTGTCACACTGCAATGCTCATCATTTTTCCTATTATTTTTCTGACTTGCAGTATTAAAAAAACCGTTCTAATTTCAGACTGTGCTTGCTCTTTTCCAAAGTCCCCAGCACATTCAGAAGATTTGACATCTGGCAATAAACTGCTACCTACTTGAATAGATACATGTACATTAAGAACTAAGTCAGAAAGGTGACAGTGGCAAATGCTCCTCCTTCTAGATACATGAAGGAGAAACCCTAGAAGACCATTATTGCCACAAGGCAATGCTGATGGTGTTGCTTCTTTCTGTCCTCCCAACTACGACGTGCACTTGCAGCTGCATGAAGGAGGACACAAAGCATGGGCCACAGAAAGGCCACTTCTTCAGCAGAGCTGCTGACTGCATACACAGACTGCCACACACTGCTTACTGCCTTTTCTGATGCAAATCAGGAAGATTTAAAAGTAGACTTACATGAAGACACATATCCATATTTAAGGTGGTAGATCTGTCCAAATTTCTTTATGTCACCATGGGAAATCCTCTAGTTCTTAGTTTTCCCAGACTGTTTTGGAGAATATCTGTCTGTCCCATTCCTTGCTATGGAAGGGCCCCTCTAATATTAGCTGTCCCAGCACTCTCTGGAACAAGCTTGCTTTCCTCCCGTTGAGCAGATCCAAATAAAAGTCAAGTGGTTGCCTCGCAAACAGTCTTCACTTAAATCTTTTACTTTTCTTACTGACTTATGCATAATACTCTGAAAATACTTCTTTTTATTCTTCCAGTTAGCTGCATTATAAGCAGTTATTAAAACATTATAATACAGAATTACATGTGGGCTACATCAATGGCACTCGAAACAAGATCTACAGGCTGACTGACAGATAACAAACTATCAGTTTTCAAAGTAGCTGCTGGCAGCCCTAGAAAGGACTAAGCTTTCCTTCCTGTGGCACCCCAAGCAGGCATTTAGCAAAATGCTGTGAAAGATGACAGCCACTTCCTTCAGGCAGGAAGGAAACTTCACACAAACTAACTCTAGAAGGTGTATTTGAGCTCTGCGCAGATTAAACGACTATCACAGTACCTCAAAAACCACAGTAAGGCTATCTTCCATTTTAAAAATGTTTATTTAAAAGAAAATGAGATCTATACCCAGATGGCCAGGAGAAAAAAAAAAAAAAAATAAAAAATTTCCTCAGTCTCCCCCCACAAACCATTATTCTCTAATTTATCTTCCCCTTAAGTTTCAGCTTCAATGTTTTACTTTTAAAAAAACCCCTGTACTTTAATTTCCTTTTCCTATTGTATTAGACCTGAGGATATTAAGTACCTTTCACTGAAGGGTTGCATGGGATGTGAGAAGAAACCACAATAAAACTTATTCACAATATACAAGTATAAAAATATTTCGCTTAGGATTCAGTATTATAATTTAATAACTTTTTGTTGTTTCATAGGTATCTGGGAAGGGTACAGATACATGTCCTGATCCTGTTACAAGAGGTAGAATGCCAGCATTTGGCACAACATTCCAGGAGAGAGTTAAAGTGATGTTTCTGTTCCCCCTGCAAAAATAACAAAGACTATTAGTACGAATGCTTGAGTTAAACCAACTTAATTACTAATAAATTACTAAATTATTTAGGATACAAATTATTTTCCCAATTCAGAAGAAATGGGCTTTTTCTTTTATGTAGTTACTTCATAAAGTATTACCTATTTTCCATATAAAACTTTTTCTTTTTTACTCTTGCATAACTCCTTTGGAGTAGAGTGCATCACAGAACCAATTCTACACAGGCAAGAATACCAGAAGCAGAAACCCAGAAGCTTAATTGCTCATTATTAGCAATGCACCTTCTAGTCTACAGAAGAAACAATATCTTATCTCCCAAGGTCATCTTCTGATAATCAAACTACAAAGATGCAATAGACTGACAGAATATCAGATAGAACATAGATAACTTACCACAGCAACAAAACCAGCAAAGTATGAAAGTAAATCAAGACACCATGAATAATGATACTACAGGAAGGATTTACTTACTTGAGACCATTTCCATCATCAAAGAAAAAGTATTTTGTCTTCATGTCTTTTAAAAACAGCCTAGGGTTATCTCCTCTCAACATGATCTTGTCCCAAAGGACCACTTGGTTTAGAGCCTAAAAATACAATTGTAATTATGTCAGCAAGACACCTTACAAGGTCATATTCAGTCACTGGATTTTCATAGCATTATTCATCTAAACCCCCTGAACTTGAAGCACATGTTTGCAGTTCATAACTAATTTTAAAAAGCAATGCTTTACAGGGAGGGAAACTAGTACTACCACAAACTGAAGTGTGGCACAGAATAAATGGAAACAACAAATAACAGCTCAATAAACCCAGAAAGTTTTCAAAGATCAACAAAGTGTGATGGGTTTTCCTTTTGAATTGCAAAGGAAATTCACTTCTAAAGCAGTATTTAGACTTCCTTTCAAATAAAGGACTTAAGCTGAGCTGTAATGACATTGCCCAGGTATTTAACACTTTTCCAACTTTAATGGAAAAAATCTCTACTTGAATTGCAAGTGTAACCAATGATACCACTGAATTCTAGTTCAAGCTACTGTGGTCACATTGCAAGGATATAGTTATGGCTCTTTTTTTTTCTTATCTTGCTGTACAAAACTACCTCTTTACTTTATTTTTCCCTAAAGTATCCTAATTATTTTAAACATGCTGGTAGGCACTGTGTTTGTACTAAAATAGTTTGTAGTGTTCTTTACTAGGGTCTGGGACTTCATTGTCTTATCTTTTAGACTTTTTTTTCCACATAAATCACTATTTCTCACAAATAGTAAGAAATATTTTTTCTAAATTGTTCTATTAGGCAGTAAACAGGACTGTTTAGCACTTAACTGCTTAAAAGAACAATCCATTTAAAGAATATCCAAATATTTAAGAATTTGGGATGTCTGTTGCACTGTTCATATCATCTGTCCACCTATGATCTCTGAACAAAAGACACACCAATCCTGGCCAGACCAAAGGCCATTAATGGCAGGACCTTAGGAAAATATAAAATGGAGAGAGTGAACAAGTGAAAAAACTTAATTTACAGTCCACTATTGTAAGGAACAATGAGGCACGTGTTATGTTTCTCCACTCTGTTGGGCACATCTCAAGTTAGGTTGCATGAGGGTGAACTTCCTACCCTGCAGTTAAACTGTCAAGAAAATAACATGTAAAAAAACAGTAAAAACAGCCCAAGCTAGTAGGAAATGCTGGTCCTTAACTCTTCCCAGCAGAACTTCTGAATGTTAAAAATAGCTGCAGTACAAAATGGGTAATTGCTTCAACTTTCTCTTTGATACTTACATTGTTTTTTGTTGAATATTCTGCAGACAAATATAGAAACAATTGTTTAACATTCCAGTCAAATATACTCTGCAGATGTATGTGAGTTAAGAAAAATAACATATTGTACTTACATAACCTTGTTTTATTTTTACCAGACCTAGGCCATTATAATTAAAGTGAGTCTTTACCTTTCAACATACCACATCTCATAAATCATTGCAATTCCCAAAGTTCTAACATATATTTTAATCATATTAAAGTGACACATTTTTTATTTTTTTTTTTTTTTTGCTATTTAAGAAATCTAACCACTATTTCCTCCAATGATTTAGGAGTTCTATATTTAACACTGCAATCCAGTAACCAAAATCTTTAAACATGGAAGGCAAGATAGAATTCTTCAGCAAATCTCTTCAAAGCCATTATTTATACTGTTAAAGAACCCTGGTATCCAACTGTAGATCAAGATACAACAGCATTAAACAATACATAAATACAAAATTGGCAGAGTGTAGAGAGTTCAAAGAGCCTGTAATACTCTCATAAAAGAAGTTAGAAGGTAGGTAGTATTTCATATCAGAAGAGACATGAGGAATTACCAAATTTAATTACTTTTCTACAGAGAAAGTCAGCTCATTAGACTGGGAAAAAACTGCTCAGATTTTTATCAACAGTAAAGAACTGATGACTGCCATTTGAGATTGTCAGTGTAATAAAACTGATATTCTAAATACTTGTCTACTTAGCAATAAAATGCATCATCTGTGACTGCTAAAGAAAAGACCTTTTAACTCACAACAAAGATTAGCTGTAACCTTTTCTTTCCCAATCTTCTCTTTTATTCTGTTTGCCACTGTCTCCCAAGAATAAACTGATTCCCCAGCCAGACTCGGAATCTACCCTGTTCCACCCATCCCGAGACTGAGCCGTGGTTTTAAGCCATTAATTCAAAAGGCAAGTAAGGAAAGAATGAAATAGTTACCTGCTGTTGCTGCAGGAGTAGCTGGAGCTATTTCACTGGAACATTTTTCGTTATCTAACTCAAACAACAAACAAGACTCTGAAGATCTTTTCTGTAGGATTTCTTTATGCTTGCTGGTTAGCGACAAATTACATAAGCTGAGGTGTTTGTGAAAACTCCCTCCTTCCCTTTGCTTTCCCTAGTTTGTGTGTCATTTTATTTAATTCTTCCTAGGACTGGCAACTTGTCTATTAGTTAAGAGACCCCATGTACCAGTATATCTTTACAAATTTTGTCAAAAAAAACCCCAAAATTACCAGAAAATTACATTTTACAACTCACACTATAAGGTTGATTTATGCCAGGCACAGAAAATTAAGTCAGAAGTTTTATTAAAAAATGTTAATACTACTACCACTATTATAAAAACATGGAATCTTTACATCTACATGCTCTAGATCAATTCTTGCATAAGAACAATTCTTTTAGAAGTTCTGCCCTGCCTTCCTCTGACTCCCCTATGTGCACCACATGCAATTCATCTCACCTACTTTAGAATTTCAGTCTCTGGTTTTAATACACCTAAACATTTCAGAGGTAAAACTCAGACCTAGGAGTTCACCTTTCCTGCTTCCAGTTGACAAAAAAAAAAAAAAAAAAATTGCTCTTATTCTATGCAACAAACACCTGCAAAAATCTGATTAGCCTGTTTATCCAGCATTTACATGTATTCAAGATCTGTGTTTCGTTTGATTTGCTTACACAGTGTAGTGTTCTGCAAAACAGAGGAGCCAAAGCACAGAGGTAATCAACATCTTGGCCAACACAGTGACAAAAAGCAGCAGACAGGGAAAAACCCCACACATCCCTGCTCAGCTACAAAGCGAGGCTTACATGGGAGGTAAAGCACGTGAGATGCTGGGGTTTGAGACCCGAATTAAGGTTGACATATGGGTGATTCCCACAGCCCTTCATACAGAGGGGGTGAGTTTGCCTTAGAGCTTCCCCCCAGGGTGCGGCCGGCCCTGCAGGGAGAGCCAGAAGGGAAATGAGCCCCAGGGGTCCCGCACTGAGCTGACAAAGGTCAGGGCTCTGCTGGGGGATAAAAGCTGGGACCACTTGCTGGCAGGGAGGAGCGTCTGCCTGTGAAGTCTGTGTGGGGATAAAAGCTGGGCCCACTTGCTGGCAGGGAGGAGCGTCTGCCTGTGAAGTGGGTGAACTTCACAGAGCTTCTTGCTTAAGGAAAGACCTCCTGACTCTCCCTGGAGCTGGGCCCCGGTCAGTTCAGACCTTTGTGACTGTGGGCTAGACCCGTGTGGGCACCTTTATCGGATATGTTTAAACTTCTGGTCTGGCTGTTTCCCTTGCCATCCATGGGAAACCTTGGCTCTCTGTTGGTGCCACCTATTGTCAGTCGAATTATGTCTTTCCTGGGGTCGTTGGGGGTAACGTTGATTGTATGCAAATCAATTGACTTGTTTATCTGCCCGGCGATCATTCAGGGCATGACCTTTTTGTTCTCAAGACATTCCACTTAGTCTTTTGTTGTCTTTATTTTTAAAGCAAAACAGGTATTTGTATGCAACTATTACGTGGCCAGAACTTTGAAAGCCTCATAACTAAGCGAGTTTGAAAGGTGCACTGGAGTTTCTAGATGCAGTATGACAGACAAAATTATACAAACCCCATAATTAATTTACCCCCTCAAACCACCAATATTAAGTTCACTTAATAGCAACACTGTCTAGGTGTTACGCTGCACTTCCCATTATTAGACACTGTACACTTCACTAGAGCCTGTTTTTTAAAAAAGATAAAACATCTTGCCCTGTGTCATCAACTGGAGACAGAACAGATATTCCAAGTTCTATTTTATTGCCCTAGGTATGTAAGATACTACTTTTCACTGCTTTCATTTTCTATTTTTAAATAAAAAAAAATTGCTAGTTGTCCTCAATACCTGAAGATTATAAGGTAACAAAAATAGATGTCAAGATGTTCTTATTTCTAAATGTTGGCAAACCATTTTTTTTCCATTAAGGATATCTGCAGTAATGTCAAATGTGACGAAGCCCAGATCACTTCTTTCTCTGGGTCCAGTGAAATCTTCCACATTTTTTCTAAGACAAAACAAAACACAGGATTATCCTTTCTTATGATTTCTTTGTCAGGCATTACATAAATTAAAACATATTTCCCTCATCCATTTTCTGTACTCACTTTGAAATACTTTTGACTAAAATGTAATCAATATTACAAAATATAAAACCTGCCTTCCAGAAATTAAACAAAACACAGGATTATCCTTTCTTATGATTTCTTTGTCAGGCATTACATAAATTAAAACATATTCCCCTCATCCATTTTCTGTACTCACTTCAAAATACTTTTGACTAAAATGTATTGACTAAATGTTTGACTAAAATATTACAAAATATAAAACCTGCCTTGCAGAAATTACAAAGCCACAGTTTTGAATGACAGGCCTGGCCACCACAGTAGTCTAAATTATACGAAGAGCCTATAGAGATTTTAGTTAACAGGAAAACATCTATCTACCTGTACCTAAATTGCACTACATTTCCTTTGAGTAAAATATGTGTTAGCCATCCCCAATATATAAAACTGACCAGAACACTGGCAGCACAGCTGTCTGCTGGCAACCATTTTCAACTTCTTCCACTTTCAAGTTCTTCAATTTCCCAACTGTCCACTAAAACAAGCCCCTAGTGCCCAGTCTCAGACACTCCAGCCACTCTGATAAAACATTTATGTTTGTAGTTTACACAACTTATAAGATTTCTTACTAGAATGTATTTAAGTGGCAGTATAAAGAAAATGCTTTTTCTTCTACATTACGGAAAATCATATTGCTTTGGAAGACTTTATCACAAACCCACATTTGGAGGAACATTTCACACTGCCACACTAAACCATGCTACAAACAGAAAACTGAAAAATAACAGGACACAGTAGGTATTTTCATACATATTCACAAAGCTCAGCAATTTATCAAACTCACTCTCTACAAAGAATACCATAAGCGTGTTGGCAATCAGCCGTGAACCTCAAATCCTCATGAAACAAACATTTTATGAATTATGAACTTCTTAGTTACATTTATATTTTAATGGACCAATCTTTAAACTGCAATACGTTTATTGAAGCTTATCTCAGTAATCTCAAAGAACAAGTTTGACAGGAGAAAACCCACTTGTGGAGACAGTGTTTAAAGAAACACCACCAAAGCTTCCTGATTTAAGCCTTGCTATGAATTTCCATCCCTTTGCAAAAAGCAACCTCTTTTTAAATAGTAGCCCTTAAAAAGGGCTTCATTTGTGAATCACTGTCAACCTGGTAATGGGCAAAAAGACTAGGGTGTGCAGAGCTTCTCAGAAGTTCAGGAAAAGCAGCTGAAGTGTAACACCTCTCATTAACACTAGATCTGTGCATCACAGAAGGGACTGGCCCTGCACTGTAATGCTCACCAACATTAGGCTTTAGTATCCTACCTCATATATGTCAAGCTCAGAGGAATACTCAAAAACACGCTTTTATGCTGTTTGCAATCCTCTATCTAACATAAGAACAGGGTTTATTTTCCTGAGATCTGAAAACAATCCAAAGGTGAAGGCATTTCCAACTCTGTGTTCATTTCCCCTTTCAAATTTTGCTGCTAGCCATCCACTCATGTCACTTAACCTTTGGGTGGCTCCAAGTCTCCATGAGCTACTTTAGCTTACTAACAGGGCAAACCCCAAACCAAAAAACACCTCACTAGTTGAGTTAAAGCAGCTCAGTAAAGTATCCTGGGAGTATAATCCCCCTCTACCTCTAGTGAAGCACCATGTGGCTAAAAGCAGGAGCAAAGACCTCTACTTTTTGGTGGCAGTAAGTTTATTTGGCTACAGCCCTCCAAATCATACACATATAACTGAACTTTTCTGTAACAGTTTCCTGTGTTAATACTGTAAAAACGGTTCCCCTGGCAGAAGTTTGCATCAGCACACTGGGTCTCGTGGGCAACGTGCTTTTGATGTGGTATTAGGTATTCTACACCTAGTGATTTCACAGAAAGATAAGCCATGCCTGTCAGTCTACTTGTGACAGTCTTTGTGAAAAAAAGGAAAATACATTACCAACTGGAGAATCTAAGGGATTTTTTTTTTAAGTACTAAGGCGATGTTCACTTAGGTCCTTGCACCTCCAAGCCCGTCAAAAGCAGCCGGCTCGGCTCCCCCGTAAGCCAGTGCCCCTGACAGAGAAGGCGACCGGCACCCCGCCCGCCCTGCCCTGGGCGCGCTGACCCGCGG